GTCCTCTCACGTCGATCGCGAGCACGTTGTTGGGTTGAAGGTGGAGGATGGAAGTCGTTTCTAGGAAGTATGCGCTATCTTCTCTCTTGGATAAAATGTTTTAGCATCTTTTATTTCCCTTTTCGTTTTTTTTTGCAGAAAAAATACGTTAATACGGAATATTAGAGCACCTTCGGCGTCGCTTCTGCTTGAAGATAAACGGTTTGATTAGATTAATTTTATGCGATATGAAAAGTGTAATGTAATTAATTATCTCTTTAATTATCTGTTTTTGCGTTATGTATGTATGTATTTGTATTTTGTCGAGTAGAAAAAAATGAGAATTGATAAGCGGTGTTTGTCGCTACGAAATTGGGATGTATGTATTATGCGTGATAAATGGTGGGATATACAAATTTTTGTCTAATTATAATTTGTTCAGATTAGAAGGATTTTTATCGCTCTTTTATTAATTACGTGAAAAATGGAAAATTTATACGTACTTGAAAAGGTATTCAAAAGATTTTTTTTTAAAGATGCATAGAGAATTATTAAATTTAATTAATAAAAATTGATAATTATAATTAACTCGTTAATTTATATAATTCACCAGGAAGGCGAGCAAAAGGAGATGTAACGGAAAATTAGAGATGCAATTTTTCTGAAACAACATTGAAGGCACGCTCTATTTCCGTGAAACTGTTCGCGTCTCGAACTTCTGTTGCTGATTCTGAAAATGGTAATGGTTAATTATCTACGCACTGTTGAAACGGTTAAAGAATACTATGAAATAACCTTGACTTAAAGTTTTTTAACGGTTTTTACAGTTACAGTTTTATGAAAATACTATCTAAAATCGCAGACTGTGAAACGTGAGTACCAGCTCTTATTTAATTCGAATTAAATCCAATGGATTATTGGAAAATAACGTAAATTTTCGATTAATTGCTTTATTTTTAAATTGCAATAATATTATTGATAAGTATCGTGGATGAATAAATTCATATTTCTATTTAGATATAATTAAAAGAAGATTAATAGAGACTTTCACTTGCTAAATATTTATATTTAGCGGATTAGGCGTAATTCTAAAAAAAAAAAAAGTCTATCGAGTTTTGAAAGTTTCTTTTGGTATTAAATTTTCTCGAAAGTTCGAGAACACCATTTTGAAGCCATCGATGTTCACATACTCGGCTGTCGACCAATGTTCTATAAAGGAAGAAACATTTGAAAGACGCATTGCATTTGAGTTGCAATTTTACGCACAGCTGACTTCGCAGTCACCCTTTGCAGTCAGTTGGTTCCTGCCTAAAGCAACAGGTGGTCTTATCCACGTGTCGATCCTGGAAACGAGCAATTTTACATTTTGCAATTGCAAAATGCTTACAGAAAATTATATAATATTATCGAACATATTTTAGAACAAACGTTAAAAATTGCATCAAAGATTAAAGAAAAAAATTTTCATCTATTAAATCTATACACGAATGAATTTTTTTAATAAGAAAAAAAAAATACGTAAAAAGAAATCTAGAAATACAACGTGAATAAAATTATAATAATATCAGCGTTAAGAGAAATATATATGTAACAATATCTATTGATACAAAAGACATGAGTCATGAAATAAATACAAAGGAGTACGTGAATAAATTACAAAGTACTCTTTACCAATCCTTTAGTAGTTCATATATTGTTCGATAGGGATTTTACAGGTGTACATTAATGGGAACATCTATGTATGACTCATGGTAAATACAACCGGAGTTTTGTGTCCGCCACGCTACAAATTGTTTAATACGTGTTCGATACAATTTGAACCATCTATTCAATAATCGGTAGACTTCGTTCCTATGTATATATACATACGGTAGACAGATATACAAAAACATCATATCGTACAAAATAGTAGCAATAGTATCACCACCAGTTTCGTTCCCACGTATTCTTCTCTTATGTACGGTAGCCTCTCATTGACCTTTGATATTTTCACCTTAATATCGTAATAAACTTTATAAAAATACGATTCTTTTAACCCTTTATTTGGCCATCATTCATTTTCGTTTTTTTTTTTCGATAAAAATATACTTCCTCATTTTTTCGAATTTTTGAAGTATAAAAATTTTAGTTGTTCAAATCCTTTTTTTTAATCTATAAAATAAAATCGAAATTAGAACTTAAACGTTCATACTCTCCTTTTAAAATCATTTTTCCAAAAATAAAAATCAAATTACGAAAAAGACTATGTGAATCTCATTGATTAAAAAAAAAAAAAATTTAAACGAAAAATAAATTTACCTTCGATTAATCGCCAAATAATGGGTTAAAATGCTTTCATCTTAGAGCAAAGAATCGGAACGATTACAATAATGATCGTCGTCTCGCCCGTGCTAGTGTTATCTTCGATCGTACATGTGTAATTTGGTTCTACATCCTTTTTTTTTT